TCTGTCTTCAACAAGAAAAATAAAGAAAATAAGCTTGGATAAATAGGAAGTAAAAGCAGCTATCAGGAAACAGCTGGTAAAGGAATACACAGATATAAGTTTCAGAGTAACAGCGGTGTTAGTCTGTATTCGCAAAAAGAAAAGGAGTACTTGTGGCACCTTAGAGACTAACCAATTTATTTGAGCATGAGCTTTCGTGAGCTACAGCTCACTTCATCGGATGCATACCGTGGAAACTGCAGCAGACTTTATATATACACAGAGAATATGAAACAATACCTCCTCCCACCCCACTGTCCTGCTGGTAATAGCTTATCTAAAGTGATCATCAGGTGGGCCATTTCCAGCACAAATCCAGGTTTTCTCACCCTCCACCCCCCCACACAAATTCACTCTCCAAATCCAGACTCCAGCGAGAAACTGCTGAATTGGAATTCATTTGCAAATTGGATACTATTAATTTTGGCTTAACTAGAGACTGGGAGTGGCTAAGTCATTATGCAAGGTAGCCTGTTTCCTCTTGTTTTTTCCTACCCCACCCCCCAGATGTTCTGGTTTAACTTGGATTTAAACTTGGAGAGTGGTCAGTTTGAATGAGCTATTACCAGCAGGAGAGTGAGTCTGTGTGTGTATGGGGGTGGGGGGGATGTGAGAAAACCTGGATTTGTGCAGGAAATAGCCCGACTTGATTATGTAAAGAGTTGTCACTTTGGATGGGCTATCACCAGCAGGAGAGTGAATTTGTGTGGGGGGGTGGAGGGTGAGAAAACCTGGATTTGTGCTGGAAATGGCCCACCTGATGATCACTTTAGATAAGCTATTACCAGCAGGACAGTGGGGTGGGAGGAGGTATTGTTTCATATTCTCTGTGTATATATAAAGTCTGCTGCAGTTTCCACGGTATGCATCCGATGAAGTGAGCTGTAGCTCACGAAAGCTCATGCTCAAATAAATTGGTTAGTCTCTAAGGTGCCACAAGTACTCCTTTTCTTTTTACAGATATAAGTAATCTTGCCAATATGATATGCATATTAAGATATTAAGGGAATTAGCTGTTGAATTTTCCAATTATTTTGAAAAAAGTCATAGAAAGCTGGGAAAACACTGGAAGACTAAAGAAAAGCAAATGTAGCACTAATCATAAAAAGAAAGAATAATGAAGCTGGTATTTACTGGGTGTAATTCTAATTTCTATCTAAAGGTGCTCTAATTACAGTATCTAATTCTATCTATCTAGTAAAAATGTTGTGGATTTTTTCTTTTACTGTTTTTAAACACGTCCAAATTTTGAAATTATGATGAAGTCAAAAAACCTGAAAAATGTTGGTGAAAGTTTTCATCAAAAAATTATTTGGTTCAAAAATGGATTTAAAAAATTGTAGAAAACCTTAAAATTTGGAAAACTTCCAGCAACTCTACTTCTGTCGCTAGTAAAATAACAGAACAAATATTAAGGTCAAATAATCACTGCCAAGGAAAGGGAACCAATAATGAATTTTGCAAACAAGCTTAATGATTTTATTTTATATAAAATAAACAAAATGGATAAATAAGACATAGTAGATGCAATATTTATGGATTATAGTGAAGTATTTGAGACAGTACCTCATTAACACTGCTCATAAAATTAATTCAGATTAGTGTGGAAGAGAACAATGTTATACAGAATGAAAGTTTATAATGGAAAAATGAATAATGTACCAACTTAGTGTCTAATAGTGTACTCTAAGGGATTGATGTTGGGTGTGGTAATATTTAAAATATTCATTAATGATCTAGAAGATGGAATAAAAGGTATGCTAATTAAATATGCATATGATATTTAAACTAAGAGATGTTCCAAATACTAGCAATGACAGAAAAAATATAGCAACTAGAAATATGAACAGATAACAAAATTATCTGTGGGGAAATAATCCAAACCACAGATATCCAATGGAAGGGAACAAAATGGGAAAGCAGTAATGCTAAGAGAGAGCTAGGAATCCTATTGGACAGCAAATTAGAAAGGAGCTAACTCTGCAATATGGAGGCAATCAAGTCCAGTGCTATTTTGTCCCATGTATTTTGAACAATCCATTATGGATCAGAGTAAAAGCTGTTCATTTGACTGCACGTGGGATATTGTGATTATTTCTGGGTATCCCACATGTATAGGATAGTTAGTGACTAAACGTTTGAACTAAATTCCATTGCAGTCAATGGAAAGATCCCCCTTCATTTCAATGGGATTTTGTATCAACCCTTAATTGAGAAGAATACATGCTTTCAAAGAGGTTTCAGAGTGGCAGCCATGTTAGTCTGTATTCGCAAAAAGAAAAGGAGTACTTGTGGCACCTTAGAGACTAACCAATTTATTTGAGCATAAGCTTTCATGAGCTACAGCATCCGATGAAGTGAGCTGTAGCTCACGAAAGCTTATGCTCAAATAAATTGGTTAGTCTCTAAGGTGCCACAAGTACTCCTTTTCTTTTAAAGAGAAGATCAAGTATGCAGATACCTTGAAACAATAGCCGAGAGGTGTAAAGTGCTTCCAATCATCTGAGGGTATGTCTACACTACGAAATCAGGTCGAATTTATAGAAGTCGTTTTTTTAGAAATTGGTTTTATATATTCGAGTGTGTGTGTCCCCACAGAAAATGCTCTAAGTGCATTAAGTGCATTAACTCGGTGGAGTGCTTCCACAGTACCGAGGCTAGAGTCAACTTCCGGAGTGTTGCACTGTGGGTAGCTATCCCACAGTTCCCGCAGTCTCCGCTGCCCATTGGAATTCTGGGTTGAGATCCCAATGCCTGATGGGGCTAAAACATTGTCGCGGGTGGTTCTGGGTACATATCGTCAGGCCCCCGTTCCCTCCCTCCCTCCATGAAAGCAAGGGCAGACAATCGTTTCGCGCCTTTTTTCCTGAGTTACCTGTGCAGACGCCATACCACAGCAAGCATGGAGCCCGCTCAGGTAACCGTCACCCTATGTCTCCTGGGTGCTGGCAGACGTGGTACTGCATTGCTACACAGTAGCAGCAACCCATTGCCTTGTGGCAGCAGACGGTACAGTACGACTGGTAGCCGTCCTCGTCATGTCCGAGGTGCTCCTGGCCACATCGGCTAGGAGCGCCTGGGCAGACATGGGTGCAGGGACTAAATTTGGAGTGACTCGACCAGGTCATTGTTTTTAGTCCTGCAGTCAGTCCTATTGAACCGTCTTATGGTGAGCAGGCAGGCAATACGGATTGCTAGCAGTCCTATTGCATCATCTTCTGCCGGGCAGCCACGAGATGTGGATGGCATGCAGTCCTTCTGCACCGTCTGCTGCCAGCCAAAGATGTAAAAGATAGATGGAGTGGATCAAAACAAGAAATAGACCAGATTTGTTTTGTACTCATTTGCTTCCCCCCCCCCCCGTCTAGGGGACTCATTCCTCTAGGTCACACTGCAGTCACTCACAGAGAAGGTGCAGCAAGGTAAATCTAGCCATGTATCAATCAGAGGCCAGACTAACCTCATTGTTCCAATAAGAACAATAACTTAGATGCACCATTTCTTACTGGAACCCTCCGTGAAGTCCTGCCTGAAATATTCCTTGATGTAAAGCCACCCCCTTTGTTGATTTTAGCTCCCTGAAGCCAACCCTGTAAGCCATGTCGTCAGTCGCCCCTCCCTCCGTCAGAGCAACGGCAGACAATCGTTCCGCGCCTTTTTTCTGTGCGGATGCCATACCAAGGCAAGCATGGAGACCGCTCAGCTCACTTTGGCAATTAGGAGCACATTAAACACCACATGCATTATCCAGCAGTATATGCAGCACCAGAACTTGGCAAAGCGATACTGGGCGAGGAGGCGACGTCAGCGCGGTCACGTGAGTGATCAGGACATGGACACAGATTTCTCTGAAAGCATGGACCCTGCCAATGCATGCATCATGGTGCTAACGGGGCAGGTTCATGCTGTGGAACGCCGATTCTGGGCTCGGGAAACAAGCACAGACTGGTGGGACCGCATAGTGTTGCGGGTCTGGGACGATTCCCACTGGCTGCGAAACTTTCGCATGCGTACGGGCACTTTCATGGAACTTTGTGACTTGCTTTCCCCTGCCCTGAAGCGCATGAATACCAAGATGAGAGCAGCCCTCACAGTTGAGAAGCGAGTGACGATAGCCCTGTGGAAGCTTGCAACACCAGACAGCTACTGGTCAGTTGGGAATCAATTTGGAGTGGGCAAATCTACTGTTGGAGCTGCTGTGATGCAAGTAGCCCATGCAATCAAAGATCTGTTGATATCAAGGGTAGTGACCCTGGGAAATGTGCAGGTCATAGTGGATGGCTTTGCTGCAATGGGATTCCCTAACTGTGGTGGGGCCATAGACGGAACCCATATCCCTATCTTGGCACCGGAGCACCAAGCCGGCAAGTACATAAACCGCAAGGGGTACTTTTCAATAGTGCTGCAAGCTCTGGTGGATCACAAGGGACATTTCACCAACATCAACGTGGGATGGCCGGGAAAGGTACATGACGCTCGCATCGTCAGGAACTCTGGTCTGTTTCAAAAGCTGCAGGAAGGGACTTTATTCCCAGACCAGAAAATAACTGTTGGGGACATTGAAATGCCTATATGTATCCTTGGGGACCCAGCCTACCCCTTAATGCCATGGCTCATGAAGCTGTACACAGGCAGCCTGGACAGTAGTCAGAGAGCTGTTCAACTACAGGCTGAGCAAGTGCAGAATGGTGGTAGAATGTGCATTTGGACATTTAAAGGCGCGCTGGCGCAGTTTACTGACTCGCTTAGACCTCAGTGAAACCAATATTCCCACTGTTATTACTGCTTGCTGTGTGCTCCACAATATCTGTGAGAGTAAGGGGGAGACGTTTATGGCAGGGTGGGAGGTTGAGGCAAATCGCCTGGCTGCTGGTTACGCGCAGCCAGACACCAGGGCAGTTAGAAGAGCACAGGAGGGCGCGGTATGCATCAGAGAAGCTTTGAAAACCAGTTTCATGACTGGCCAGGCTACGGTGTGAAAGTTCTCTTTGTTTCTCCTTGATGAAACCCCCCGCCCCTTGGTTCACTCTACTTCCCTGCAAGCTAACCACCCTCCCCTCCTCCCTTTAATCATTGCTTGCAGAGGCAATAAAGTCATTGTTGCTTCACATTCATGCATTCTTTATTCATTCATCACACAAATAGGGGGATGACTACCAAGGTATCCCAGGAGGGGTGGTGGAGGAGGGAAGGAAAATGCCACACAGCACTTTAAGCACAGCACTTTAAAAGTTTACAACTTTAAAATTTATTGAATGACAGCCTTCTTTTTTTTGGGCAATCCTCTGTGGCGGAATGGCTGGTTGGTCGGTGGCCCCCATGCCGCGTTCTTGGGCGTCTGGGTGTGGAGGCTATGGAACTTGAGGAGGAGGGCGGTTGGTTACACAGGTGCTGTAGTGGCAGTCTGTGCTCCAGCTGCCTTTGCTGCAGCTCAACCATACACTGGAGCATACTGGTTTGGTCCTCCAGCAGCCTCAGCATTGAATCCTGCCTCCTCTCATCACACTGCTGCCACATTTGAGCTTCAGCCCTGTCTTCAGCCCGCCACTTACTCTCTTCAGCCTGCCACCTCTTCTCCCGGTCATTTTGTGCTTTCCTGCACTCTGACATTATTTGCCTCCACGCATTCGTCTGTGCTCTGTCAGTGTGGGAGGACAGCATGGGCTCAGAGAACATTTCATCACGAGTGCATTTTTTTTTCTTTCTAATCTTCACTAGCGTCTGGGAAGGAGAAGATCCTGTAATCATTGAAACACATGCAGCTGGTGGGGAAAAAAAAAAGGAACAGCGGTATTTAAAAAGACACATTTTATAATACAGTGGCTACACTCTTTCAGGGTAAACCTTGCTGTTAACATTACATACATAGTACATGTGCTTTCGTTACAAGGTCGCATTTTGCCTCCCCCTACCGCGTGGCTACCCCCTCAACCCTCCCCGTGGCTAACAGCGGGGAACATTTCTGTTCAGCCACAGGTAAACAGCCTAGCAGGAACGGGCTCCTCTGAGTGTCCCCTGAAGAAAAGCACCCTATTTCAACCAGGTGACCATGAATGATATCTCACTCTCCTGAGAATAACACAGAGATAAAGAACGGATGTTGTTTGAACGCCAGCAAACATACACTGCAATGCTTTGTTGTACAATGATTTCCAAGTAAGTGTTACTGGCATGGAGTGGTAAAATGTCCTACCATGGAGGACGCAATAAGGCTGCCCTCCCCAGAAACCTTTTGCAAAGGCTTTGGGAGTACATCCAGGAGAGCCGCGAATGCCAGGGCAAAGTAATCCTTTCACATGCTTGCTTTTAAACCATGTATAGTATTTAAAAAGGTACACTCACCGGAGGTCCCTTCTCCGCCTGCCGGGTCCAGGAAGCAGCCTTGGATGGGTTCGGGGGGTAGTGGCTCCAGGTCCAGGGTGAGAAACAGTTCCTGGCTGTCGGGAAAACCAGTTTCTCCGCTTGCTTGCTGTGAGCTATCTTCTTCTTCGTCCCCAAAACCTGCTTCCGTGTTGCCTCCATCTCCACTGAAGGAGTCAAACAACACGATTGGGGTAGTGGTGGCTGAACCCCCTAAAATGGCATGCAGCTCATCATAGAAGCAGCATGTTTGGGGCTCTGACCCGGAGCGGCCGTTCGCCTCTCTGGTTTTCTGGTAGGCTTGCCTCAGCTCCTTAAGTTTCACGCGGCACTGCTTCGGGTCCCTGTTATGGCCTCTGTCCTTCATGCCCTGGGAGATTTTGACAAAGGTTTTGGCATTTCGAAAACTGGAACGGAGTTCTGATAGCACGGATTCCTCTCCCCAAACAGCGATCAGATCCCGTACCTGCCGTTCGGTCCATGCTGGAGCTCTTTTGCGATTCTGGGACTCCATCATGGTCACCTCTGCTGATGAGCTCTGCATGGTCACCTGCAGCTTGCCAAACAGGAAATGAGATTAAAAAGTTCGCGGTTCTTTTCCTGTCTACCTGGCCAGTGCATCTGAGTTGAGAGTGCTGTCCAGAGCGGTCACAATGGAGCACTCTGGGATAGCTCCCAGAGGCCAATACCGTCAAATTGTGTCCACAGTACCCCAAATTCGAGCCGGCAAGGCCGATTTAAGCGCTAATTCACTTGTCAGGGGTGGAGTAAGGAAATCGATTTTAAGAGCCCTTTAAGTCAAAATAAAGGGCTTCATCGTGTGGACGGGTGCAGGTTTACATCGATTTAACACTACTAAATTCGACCTAAAGTCCTAGTGTAGACCAGGGCTCAGTTATTACCTGTAAAACCCACTAAAACTTTCTCAACGAAGGCCTTTGTGGCTATACGTAGAGGAGAGTTGTGATCCCGTTTGAACACAGACAGGGTTTGCCCAGGCTTGAATTTACAAGTGTGTTAGTTAACTCAAATTAATTGACAATCAATGATTTAAGGCTGGATCACCAGCTCTGGTCTAGACAGACAGCGGGGGGGAGCCGCAGGGACGTGTGCCTTCGCTGCCACTCCATCGTGAGTGACTCTTTTACTGTGGTATTAATAAGTAACAAAGCCCTCTCCAAGCCAAACAGAGTCCTTTGCCCGGATGGTGGGGGCAGAGTCCACCCTCTGGACCCCACCTGCCTAAACATACAGGGGGCAGGAGAGGGAATGTGACCAAGTCTTGCCATTTTAACACTCCAGTATTTAGTACATTTTTAGTCACAAGTACTAACCACGCATGCGCTGCTCCCCCGCTGATCGACACTCCCGTCAGGCGCTCTCCGGTTGAGGCGGGACACGACTTTTTAATTGGTTTGGCGCGTCATACGTCACTCCCCTGCTCTTCCAATCGGCGTCAGGGTGCTTTCAACTCCCCTCCTCGCCCTGGTTGCGAAGACCGCGTCTTCCTCACCTGCGGTGCGCGCCGGAGGTCGCTGTGGTTGTTGACGATCCGGGCTATTGAGACGCGCTCCACTCGCCGCTCCCCTTGCGCCGCCGGCTCTCGGGCGCGCGCCGCCAAACCACCTAAGAAGTCACGCGCCAGCCGGGGAGCATTGGAAGAAAGTTACCAGCGAAGGGCGGAGCCGGAGCCGGAGCGGAGTCGCGGCCGGGCCGGGCCGGGCCGGGAGAAACGGGTGCTGCGTGCGGGGCTGTCCGGGGCTGGAGGTGAGACCGCTGGAGCCGCGGGTCTGCAGCCGGAGCGTGGGCGAGCGGCAACTCCGCCGCTCCAGGCGGGGGGTCCCGGGGCCAGGCTGCGGCTCCCGGAGCTGCGGGGTGGGGCAGCGCGGCGGAAGGACAGGGCGGCGGCGGCAGGGATCAGCCCTGGCGCGGGGGGTCGGTCCGCCTGCCCCGGGGACTCGCCCTGTGGCTCTGCGCGCCCGCCCGCGGGGAGAGGGGACCTGCCGAGCGCAGCCGCCTGCCCCCGCTCTGCCCTGCGGTGGGGGCTGTGTCGGGGTGGGGGGACTTTACAGTGACATGGCCCTGGCTGTCTTGGCGCTCACCAGCCTCGCGGAGCCTGAGCGCACCTCCCCACCTGTTTCCTAACCCCCTTTGGCTTCAGGCTTCCTCCCACCCGTCCCCTTCTCCCACCGCGGCGCGATCAGTTGTTAAAATGTCTTTAAGTCGGTAGTGCCACCCTGGCTCTAAAGAGATGCGAACGTCTCGGGGTAACTATTTGCCTCTCTCCTCCGGGCGATGCTTCTGGTTATTCGTTGGTTTTCAAGTGGCCGTTTTGTTAAACGGCATATATGGCGGAAGGGGGGGGGGGATAGTGTGGTTACATTGGTGGTGCAACGAGGGATTAAATGCTACTCTGCCCTCTAAATTGAGAACAGTGGTGTGTTTACATTAAAACGTATTTCAAAAAAGATATTAATACTTTACATGTTACTACAACTCCTATAAACAAACTTATTGATTTAGTCCCTTCCTAATCGACTGTAATATTAAATCAATGCAAGCTCATATTTATGTATAATGCAAAGGTTTTATTGAGGCATGTGACAGCTAGGTTAAACATTAAGTAGTATCTTATGGACCTGTTGTAAACATTCTTTGAAAACAGGAAATGCAAGTACAGGTATAATGGAGTGGATTTCCACTGCTTGAAATTTGATCACTTGTAGCATAATATACAGCTGCTAGATAGATAGATAGCTTCTGAAACATTCTTCATATAAAATATCTATGTGTGAACTGCACGCTCAGGGCCTGAAATGTAGAAGTTATGTAAATTTATTCCTTAATTGGACATATTTAGTTTTCTGTGCACTTTCATTGTCTGACAAGCTTTTCAGACCTTTAAGAACAAACATGGAGAAATGTAGTTGTATTGTCCATTCTCTCTGTAAACCATCTTTTTCCTGGTGTGCTTCATAAAAGAAAACATGCAGCATCTGCTAAATATATTTACTTGCATCCTAATCAGATAAAGACTTACGCACTTACTTAACTTTGAAGTCAATGGGACCATTCAGAGTGCCAAAAATTAAGCATAAATCTTTTCCATGATTAGGTCCCCAGAGGCTACTTTGGATTATGTATTGAAATTACTGTACATTTGTGAATCTAAACATGGTTGACTCATTTCTGTTTTACTATCCTATTCTTATGGAATGAAGGCATAATTTGAGGTATTAAAAGGGTGAGAGTTCATAATATATTTTGAAAAGTAAAGTTTTGCAGCTTGATTAACCAAAGTGGTGCTGTTTGTTACCAATAAAGTTTTTTATAACAAAAGTAAGCAATATTATTATTAAAGTCACAACATTTGTATCAGCTATTTTTGTTTATAAATGTGTATTGTAGATAATAAAAGCCCTTCTAAGGATATACTTCACTGAATCAGAGTCATACACAGTTTTTCAACATGTTTGAAATATATTAACATTTTTAACAGAATTCTGTAGAAAGCCTCCTCAGAAGGGGGGTGGGTGTGTACGTATAGAAACACACACTGTGTGTGTTTCTGTGTGTGTGTGTGTGTGTGTATATATATATATATATATATTAGTCAGTATTAATAAATACAAAGACTGCATTAGTATTCATATAAAGCATCTCAAGCTTCACAAGAACTGATGATACCTGCTGCAGAAGAATCTTTTGCAATGTTACTTATGGAAATGATAAATTGTTTGTACTAATGTCTGATTGAGGAAAACGTAGTTCAACTAATCTTGCAAAAATCTTTTTCCCCTTAGAATCTCAAAATACATTACAAAGTACATATCACAGTGAAATATACAAATCTCTGTGGCTTGGAGAATGGTAGCTGAGCAACTAGTACATAATAGTATGGGGAGTGGAACTTTTAGCCTTAGACACTGAAGCCTGTTCTTACAGATATTTGTCAATGTGCCCTCTATTTTTTTTATGTATAATAAATGTATTAACTAATGATGCTTTAACAGAAATTGTTAAGGTATAGCTAAGTAGCACCTGCCTTCTAAAGGTTGTATGGCACCATGAGCAGATAACACATTTCTCAAGAGTCCTCCTACTAAACATGATTAAACAGCTTCGTTTGATTACTTTTATGTAAAAGTTGCTAAATATTTAATGTTTTAAAAATATCTCTTCAGAGAGGAAATGGATCATGCATCTGTGCATGTACAGTAGAGGTCAGTGGTTTCTATCCAAATATATTAGAGCAAACTTCATTTATAGATATGAGATCAATAATGTCACTTTAAATTAGATTGTGTTGATAGTGCAACATTGTTCCAATGAAGCCATCTCAGTCTAAGAATCTCTTGGTGTACTCATTTCAGGGTTATTTTATTACTTATAGTAGTGCCTAGAGGGTCCTAGATTGGGATTTCATTGAGCAAGGCATTGTACAAACATGTAATGAAAAGAGGATTCCCTGCTCCAAAGAATATGATGACAGACAACAGGTGGATATCACAAACAGCCAGGGGTACCACAAAATAACAGTGACACTATCCTGATTAGTGTAATAAGCAGCAAACTGGTTAGTAATGCCAAATGTTTGTAAGCATAAGTGAGTTTTAAGGAGGCTACGGCAGTGGCTTTGAGGATTACTACAGGGAACTGCCTGTGTATATGGGGTGGCATGGGAGAATGCAGAAGGTGCTTGTTGGAAAACTTCACTAAAGGAGAACAAAGGCTGGTATTGTGGAACAGAGGGCTGTTTTGGTGGCTCTGTACAATATAAATAATATGTACAGCTGGGAAAAACGATGTATGCTTTTACAGTGAAGACAAGTAGTTTGTACTTGATGTAGTAGAGATGGGGATTCAGTGGAAATACATGAAGTGTGTGTGGGGGGGGGGTGCAATTTTTTGCAGCTGTGTTTGAATGGATGGGGAGCAAGGTGGCATTTGTGAGGATCAAAAGGGGGATGTTATAGTACTGAAGCTGTAAAATGAGAATCTGGACCAGAGTTCTAGCTGTATGGACAGAGAGGAAAGGCTGCATCTTAAATATGTTGTGCAGGAAGAAGTGGCAAGACTTAGATAACCTTCCACATGTTGAGAAAATGGTCCGAGTCAAAGATGGATTCCCAAATTACAGACTTGAGGGATGATGATGGTGTAAGTGGGGAGTGCTTGTAGGGGGAAGATAAAGAGCTCCGTTTTGGTTGTGTTGAGTGTAATCTGATGGCCTGTGACATACCCTTGTGGATGCCCAGCCAATATTTTAGATAAGCTTGTGAATCATTTAGTGTAAAGATTATAGTTATAAAGGCATGTCTTCGAATGAGATCTGCAAAAGAGGTTGTGGTATGAAAAGAGGAAGGGGCCAAGAATTGAGCCTGTTAAACCTGCACTGAAAGCTGGAATGGGGATGAGAAGGATCCTGAAACCAAAATGCTGAATGATTAGAGAGGCAGGAAGATAGAATAAGAGCCCAGGCAGGAGAAAATTTCAAATGGGAGCATGATTAACTGTGTTGAATACACAAGGAAGGCAAAGAATACCAGTTCTGAGACTTGAACAGAAAGAGGTTGTTAAGAGACTTTGGTGAAAGCTGTTGTACTAAACTGTGTGCTGATACTTTTATTTAAGTGGAAATTTGTCTCTTTATGACAAAATCCAAAGATGACCTGTTACTTTGGGGAAATTTTGCTCAGCATTGCAATGATGGGTATTTCTAAAGTGGAGTCCTAATGAAATGTGTTAGGCTACTTTGTAAACCATATAACTTATTCTTCATTTCTGTTCAAAGTAAACAAATGGAAAATTGGTGTTACGTTATCAGTTTAGGGTAGAACATTGGAACTTCTATGGGAGAATAACTGTACTTTAAATAGATTAAATATGCTATTGATTTCCTATTTCAGTGGTAGTTTTGTTTTACATAGGCAGGGACTTGGGGAATGGAATTGGTATTCTAAGCCAATATTTTGCTCAAAAGCTTAAAAGTGTGTGATTTCCTATTCAAAGCTAACATAAGAGTGACAACTTTTGTAGGGTATGTCTACACAGCAGCTGGGAGATGGGATTCGCAACTCAGGTACGTATACATGCACTAACTGTTTGAGCTAGTGCTTAAGAATAGTTGTGTGGTGGCAGCAGCAAGGGCGGGAGCTTGGATTAGCCGCCAGTATACAATCAATCATCCCACCTGACCCCCAGGGTATACACTCAGGTGGCTAGCCAAGCTACCATCCATGCTGCCTCAGCCACACCATTATTCTTAAGTGCTAGTTTGAGCCGAGTTAGTAAGCGTATGTC